AAACATGGCTTAAAGCGGGGACACACACATACATGCACACACACAGTGTGTGTGTGTGTGTGTGTGTGTGTGTGTGTGTGTGTGTGTGTGTGTGTGTGTGTGCGCGCGCATGTATGTGTGTGTCCCCACTTTAAGCCATATTCCACACTGGCGGAGCCAAGCGGGATGGCAGCGGTGCGGGTGTTGAGTGGATGTGCCTTGAATGCGTGGGTGTGTTTCAGCGTCCTCCGAGGAAAGCTTCAAACGTGTCGTTTGTTATCCCAGACCCCTGTGCTTTAACGACGGCTGTCCAATCTCAAAGGACTGTGTGCTACGCAAAAAAAAAAAAAAAAAAGTTATCATGCGGTGGCCTTCATTTGAATTTCTTAGTGCTCAAAATAACTTTTCTTCAGATAAATGCACCGTGGAGCCACGCGGAGAGGAAGGCGCTTGAGCGCAGGGGGCGAGGTGAGGCGAAAGGGGGCGGCCGTGGCGGGGGTCACGGCGGCCCAATCGGCATGGCTCTGGTGCGTTCACACACCCTCTTTGAATTCACTTGTACCAAGAGCCTTTACTGAACAGAGAAAATAAATGACACTATGATATTAAAGTAAAACTCCCAAGAATAAAGTTGTATCAAGTTACTGTGTGTATATTCTTGACCACTGGGTGGTGACACATAACTTTCTCTGTAAATTTTAAAGAACAAGAAGAAGAATGATAAAAAAGAAGAACAAAAACCCAGAAGTCAGCACAGCCTAATTTTTGTTGAAAATTATTGAATGCCATCCTCTGTAATCCTGTGTTTTACCGCTACAAAAAGCTTGAACGTTTGCTTGGAGGCGGGGATTGTTGTTCAATTCCATTTTTTTCCCCAGAACATGACCAGAACGAGTACAAAACTCTTGACTACTCACCGATACAAAGTAACCGATACCATTGGTACTTTTAAAACATAACATTTCCATTAAATCAATAGTTAGTCAGCATAATTGGAAGAAAGACCCTTTGTTTATTTGTGACAGAAGAGAACAGGTACAACTCCTTGACTTTTAGTTTTTGGTTCAAAATAAACTGAAGTGCAAGATAATACAGGATCAACTTTTAACTTTCAAGCATGACACTATCAAGTTGGAAAATTGGACTTGGCGATACAGTTGAAACTTATTTAGTGAATGTAGCACTCTGTATGATACACACAAGTACGTCAAAGTGCTACGTGGCCTGTGCTGCACTCAACAGGAAAAATAGACCTTACTAATGCACAAAATAATAACAACATTCTATTTGTCTCAGAAAACTAAAGCCGGTAAATGTGTAATTTGCATTAAATGCCGTAATAGGAAAAGTTATCAGACAACCCAAATTGAGTTTTCATATAAACAGAAATTTTGCTAACACCACACTACGAATGGACTCTATTTTTTCTGCTTACTATAGTGATCATATCCCAATGAGGGTTAAATATGTTATTTAACAGATGGCTGGTGCAAAAAGGTCCAGAAAACGTGTGGTAACAGTGACCGAGAGAAAAAAAAGATGGGATTATTTGTCCGTGGTGTGCTTTTTTTGTGTGCATATGCTACAGAGCAGCAGGTCTGTGTAACTGCAGGAAGTGCTCATTATGTCTTGGCTAGGAGAGGAACAAGTCGATACAACAAAAATCAAAATGGATCAAAGACGTGGGGGGGGGGGGCGTCACACCCGCAACACAATTGGTGATGACCACAGTCAGTCTACATGCACAGCTCAACCGGAACTACTGGACTGGAAAACACTGGCTACATAAATACGCTTGATGCTTGATGTGGCATGCTTTGGATCATGGAATGTTCCTTTAATTCTTTGAAAAATTAAAACAAAACAAACATGCAAAAGTAACTTGCGAGTAACTTTCATGTCATTTATGACCTCCACCATATTTCACACGAGATGTGGTATGCTTTGGATCATGCAGAAATCGAAGCAATAAATTAACATGTTAAGGACATTAATTGTAACATGTTACAACGTTGCCCCCCACTTTGTTTTCGTCACGTGATGTGGAATGCTTTGGATTATAAGATGCTAAATTTTTTGGTGTAAAAAAAACCCAGAACAAACATATAGTTAAGCAAATATAGGACGGCATAACGCTTTGTCCACTTTTTTAAAGAAATGATGTGGTATTCTTTGGATGATGAGTTTTCTTTCATTCTGAGGAAATATGAAAAACTAACTTGCTGTAAGTTTCTGTAAAATGTTTGAACACAGCGTCTCCATGTTTAAAACGTGATATGGTATGATTTGAATCACTGGGCTCCTTTTTTTAGCAATAATGTTAAACTAACAAATTCACTATGTTTAAAACATGAAGTGGTATGCTTTGGATCATGAAATGTTCCTTTTCTTTTAAACAATAAAACTGCAGAAACAAACTTAATTGTTCGGGACTATAACATGCCATGACATGGTGATCACCATGTTTAAAGTATGATGTGGTATGCTTTGCATCACTCAACTATCGAACAAAAGCGCCCTTCACCACGTTCGACACATGATGTGGTATGCTTTGGATCAAAAGATGTGACTTACTTTCTTAGCCGGAGCATAAAATAACTACAACATGCAATGACACAGAATCCACCGGGATGAAGACATTATGTGTTATGCTTTGGATCATGAAGGCTTTTCATTCGTAGTCATTGAGTAAAAGTTTCCTAGTAGGTCATATAAAACAAGTTGTTAGTAGCCATAATATATACCATAACTCTCCACCATGTTGCAAACAGAATGTGCTATGCTTTGGACTCTTAGCAATAATACACAAGCACATCCAAAAAGGAGAGCCGCTGTGCTTCTGCCCGCTGAGAGAAAGCGATAGAAAGACAACTTAGTGCAGTCAGTGGGCCGTCGAGGGTGTCGGGGCTGACGGGGCTGTGGGGGCCCAAGGTCTCCTCGCTGTAGGGGATATTAAGCCCTCTGATTGGCTCCCAGGGGCCACCCATGGCAGACATGTCGTATTCTACAGGCCCCGGCTCATCTTTATTTTGGCAGGGTGCTGCTCTCTGCAGGCTGCACTGCACCAATACTGAGTTGTTTGTGCAGGGAGGGAAACAAAGTTAACCTCCACTTTTTCCTCCCTGTTTTTCTTTTTTTTTTTTCTTCCTCTAACCAACATATTTTTGTTCCCGCTCAATCACAAATGCGTCGGCGGTTCTGCAGGCAAACAAGCCAAAAGACGATTTCGACAACTTTTCCATTTTAACAGTGAAGCAAACAGGCGCATGGAAGTTCAGAAATGGATAGCAAAGCCACGCCGTGAAGCCATGTGATGCCTTCCTTCCAATCAAGAAAGTTTAATGAAACGATGCAATGAATGATATTTAACAGTCACATAATTGTGGTAAATACTGGATGTTATTGATTAGCGGGGAGGAGGGATGTTTCTATAGTGACTTAAATTTCAAAAACAGAAAAAAAGAAATCCATAATCTAAAACAAGAATAAGTAATTTAAATGCTGGAGAAGGGTGGGGGGAGTGGGGGGGGGCACAATTTTTCATGGGTGCTACTGGAGCCCCCTCCAGGGGCTGGGCGGCAAACTTCCTAACCAGACATATGACAAAAATGCTATTTTAAATATGGCCAAAATACGTGCAAATGTGCAAAATTCATTTGATCCTAACCCCCAAAAAACAACACTTGTCATTTTTTGGCAAAGGCCTCTCTTGCTTAAAAATTACCATTCAAGGACTGCATGAAACTATTGAACAGCAAGCCAGCATGAAGTGCAAGAACTCATTTTGGACATTTTTTGACACAAATCAGCTTGCTCACAATTTTAAGATTACTGAAGTACTACGTTTGTGAGGCGGCCCAGTGGTCGACTGGTTAGGATGTCGATCACTCAGTGTTCAGGTGCAGGTTCGATTCCGGCTTTGGCCTTCCCGTGTGGAGTTTGCATGCAATATATTGATTGTTTATCAGTGTTTTTTGAATCATTTCTTGGTTTAGTAAAAAATGTCAAAACTTGTATTTTTTTGCTTTAGTTAATCAAGGGGCCGCTCAGAGTGTCTGTTGCTTCGCTAGCAGGCTACTTATTTGGGCATTAAATGTATTTTCAAATGTATTTTTGGAACGATATTAAACAATGTTAAGGGTATATTACAATTTCCGTCAAAAAGGAATCCATAAAAGAAAATCATATGGAGAAAAGCAGCAACTCCTAATGTGTGTAGTTCCCAGCAGCATAAACATGGACACACACAATATTGTGGACCGGTGACATGAGGTCAGAGGCTACGAGAATGTTTATTGTCAAATCAAAAAGAACATCTTTGTGTGTGATAAGACTCCACACTTTAATTCCTCCGAGAGAGGCTGTTTTTTGTGCCTTGATAGGTGATGCTGTTTTGGCTAGCAACGCAGTTCAAACAGACTCAGTCAGCTCCAGCTCAGCCACCCACCCTAACGAGGACAGTGTTATAAAAAATGCAATGGATGGGGCGGGGTGGGGGCTGTCTCTTTGAGAGAGGTGTTCATTTATTTCAGCCTTAATGCAGTGGGCGATTTATCTATTCGAGGGACGGTCGCAATCCGAGGAAATGCGCTAATTAAACTTCTGCGTTTGTGACCTCGTAGCTTTGCAGAGCATTGTTGTACTTTTTCAAGTTCCAAGTGCACATGCAGACAACCAGACACACACACACACACACATACACACACACACACACACACACACACGTGTGGTTCTCTCATCAGGCAGCCTTTCTTCTGTTTTGTTTGTCTTAAGCGCATATTCCCAATCACAATTTCCACGGCAGGCCTGCTTGCCTGCCTGGCTGCGGCTCCTAAGGGTGCAGGCAGACACTTCTAGCTGCAGGCTCCCCCACTTCTGAAACCTGTCAAATGTGTCCTGGGAGAGTCAGCCTCCCTCTCATCATCCAGGGGCTTGTGGACCTCTCCCTCTCTCTCTCTCTCTCTCTCTCTCTCTCTCTCTCTCTCTCTCTCTCTCTCTCTCTCTCTCTTGCTCCCTCGCCCACACGCTCTCTTTCTCCACTTACTCCCTCCTCCCCCCACTTCCTCATCCCCCTCTTCCACACTTTCATCTCACATCCAAACTTGCCGGTTGCAACCTTCTCAGCCTCCTCCCAAGTTTTCTTTTTTTTTTTTTTTTCTGTCTCCTTTTCTCCTCTAGTTTGTCTCCCTTCTTCTGTGACTTACTTTGACTCACACTTTCCCGCCAGTCACTTTTGGGGGTGATATTTGTCCTCTTTTTGTCCCCCCATGGTGGTGTCAAAGAACGGGAGCGCGATTGGGCCTCCCACCAAGTCATGTAAAGCATTATTTATAAAGTGATTATACTACAGCTGCAACTGTAATAAAGCATGAGGTAAAACAAACAATAATACAAATGTAAGAAACCAGCAACATCTTTTTCTCCATCCCCACATACGCTTTGTTGTTTACAGAGGTTGGGGTAAACCCCTAAGAAACAAACGAGAACTGAAGGAGGCTGCAGTAGAGGCCTGGAAAAGCATTTCAGATTACGAATGCAACAGTCAGGTGTCGTCAATGGGTCGCACATTTCAAACGTCCCCTACACAGTAGGAGCGTTCACTCCTTTGTGTCCAGACTGCAACTAAATGGCACTTGGGCAAATCTACCACGAGCTGATTTAACAATGGAGCAAAATTTTTCTGTATTGTAATTCCACACTTGATGGGTGGGCACTCAATCGTTCACATACAAGCAATTAAATATTCACTTTTATATAACACTGTGTTGTCACCTTTAAAGTGGGTTATTAGTTAAAGATGGTTGGAAAGTTTTCGCATGGTAATTCACAGGATGAAGTTCAGCCTACCATAATGATCAAATTTTCTCCGCTTGCCGCAATGGTTAAATTTGAGCACTGACAATGACGGGGGACTTTCAGGGCCTTCTCTGTCTTAACCAAACTGTCTGTCTACTTTGTGACCACTGTCCTGGGGGTCTGCCCCTCCCCCCCTTTCCCCCCAGCACTAAGCTCCCCCCCGCCGGTGCACCGTGATCGATATGGACTTGGAGGGAGGGCAGGGTGATGAAGAGAGGGGGGGGGGGGGGGGGGTTGGCTGTCCGTCAAAGCTGATGGAGGAAATGAAGGCTCAGATGGAGGAGGCATGCTCTGTATGTTAAACGTTCACATCACATCGGCCATGGAGGGCTGGGCATGTATCAATAGGTTCCTGCTAAAAAGAGAGATGAAGGCTAAAATAGGATAGCGGTTGAAGACCAGGGTTATAATAGTTGTGTATTTTTCATTAAAATTGTTTTTTACTTTGTTTTGACTTTTGGTGTTTCATTTCAGTTAGTTTAAATTTGTTTTTTTTTCATGTTTAATTTCAGTTGAGTTTGTATTAGTTTTATTATTTGTTTTAGTTTTTTTTTTTTTAAATTCATGACGTGTTTTCCGAGTGCAAGATGAACAAAAGGTCACTAAGTAATGTTTCATGAAATATGGTCAACTACAATTCTCAAATGCCTGTTTAACTGTGCGGCAATACAGAAAATACATAGAAAAAAACCCAACTAAAAGCTCATGTATGAAATTTATTGACAAAGACAAAAACGAAGGACCATTTCACTATAATTATCGTGATTTTTAGTTAGTTTGGTAAACGTAACTTAATTTTAGTTAATTTTCGTGTCTTTAAAGGCATTTTCATTTATATTTTATTTCACGGATGATTTTTTTTTCCCCCCATTTTTGTTTCAGCTATTTTCGTTAGCTGTCTTTAACTATAATAACCTTGCTGAAGACATCATAAAAAAGGGGTGCTAATGGTGTTAATTGATGTATCAAGTGTGTTGGGCAAACAAAAGGAAATGAGCTGAGAACTTCCAAAGTGCAAAAGAAGACGAAAGATCTGAGGTGGAGAAATAGCAGTGAAGAGCCCAAGTTAACGACTTTGCAGATTTCATTATGGAGATAGTTAACCCTGTTGACACTGAAGGAGGGCGCTCTCCTCTCGAGAGGAGCGCGCTCCTTCCACCTCCACGCACAGAGACAGATGAGATCATTACAGCTATCAGCGCCACTGCCATCCACAATTAGCACATGTCCTTTCCTCCAGCACCCCCCACCCACTCGCTCACAAACAACACCTACTCTTCCTTTGCTTGCCTCGTGATGTCGTCCTCCCCCTCGCGCCTCCCGACGCTTCCCAAGGCCCTGATAGCGGAAGCCATTTGGATTAAATAAGGAGGCGCATGCAGCAGGACTGCTCTCCGCTTTAGTCCAACCATCTGCTCTGACCTTTCCCCAACTCATTTGGAGCCCATTTACATTTTAACACTCACGTGGGCGAGACGGCTTGGAGATGCAAAGTTTATTGCGAATGGAAATGTGTCTAACTTGATGAGATGTCACAACATGTTCGCAGGGATGCAAAACAGCAGACCTTTGGAACTCAGTGTGGCTCCCCCATAAAGTACACCTCAACTAAGTTTGCATTGGTATGTAACTTCACTTGAACAAACTATGCGTGTTGGACAAGAT